CAGCACATTTCATAATGTTACAGAACGGGGCACACTCTACATGTTTGTTCACTGGTAAATGGACAATAAAATGTGGTATACCAACAGCATATTCGTAGGCAATTAAAGGGAATGGAATCAAGGGGCTCCGGGGTGGCTCAGACGGTTGAGCGTCTGACTCTTGATTTCGTCTCTGCTCATGATCTCACAGTTCGTGAGTTTGAGCCCCACATCAGGCTCTCCGCCAACAGTGTGGAGCCTGCTTGGGATTCTTGCTCTCCTGCTCTATCTGCCCCTCTCCTGCTCTCTCTCTCTCCCCCCTCTCTCAAAAAATAAATAAGCAAAGAAATTTTAAAGGAATGAAATCGTGATATGTGCTACAACGTATATGGAATCTCAGAAAGTAGGGTGTTGAGTGAAATAAGCCAGTCACAAAAAGCCACATATTCTATGGTTCCATTGGTGTGAAAGATACGGAATAGTTAGGTCCATAGAGACAGAAAGTATGATAGCGGCTGCCTAGGGTGGCGGTGGGGAAGGGGTGGTAACTGCGCACGGGGGCAGGGGCGCCCTTTGGGGTGAAATGTTCTACAGGTGAAAGGTGGCAATGGTGGCATGACTCCGTGAATCATACGCTGTAAATGAGTAAATTGTATGGCATGTAAATTATACCCCAATAAATGTGTTCGGGAAAAAGAGCCTTGAGTCCAAGTCCTGACCTGCCCCTCCAGGGACTCCTCAGTCAAGTCTCTGTCGACTCATGACGTTCCGTCTTCTCTGTAAAACGGGGCAGGAAGATTTGCCTTCCTTTGTTACTGCAGGGACCAGATGAGATGACAGATATGAAGCCATTTTTCATTTTAACTTTCATATGTACATTTATGGTGAAAGGAAATGTATATGCACATTGTACAAAATTCAAATGGGTACACAGTGAGATGTAAGTCTCATTTTCTGGGGTGATGGAAATGTCCAATATCCTGATAGGGGCTGGCGATTACACAGATGTGTACCCTTGCCAAAAACGCATAGAGCCAAACCCTTAAGAACTGGGAATTTTGTTGTAAATAAATAATACATTAAAAAATCCTTTAAAGTAAACCCCTTCCCTCTCTCTCTGTGTTTCCCAGCCTCCAATTACCCTGCAGGAGGCACGGCTGTTTCTAGTTCAGTTTGGTCCAGGCACACATGGACAAAGGAAATATTTCGTTATAACCCTTTTGTACACAAATTAAAAAAAAAGTGCTATGTACACTGATCTGCCCCTTATTTCTTCCCCCTAAAAACATGCCCAATGATGGAATTTGACAGTGGGTGCTCATCTGGCTGCATCCACACCCGTGAAGACATGTGTGATTTGTCTACGCACCTCCACCATCAGTGGGCATGTTGGGTGTTTCCTGTATGCTGGCATTACAAGGAGTGCTTTGGTGAATAACCTTGTGCACGGTCAAATAACATTTTTCACATTTGTGAGCAGTAATTAGAGGACAGATTCCTTGAAGTAAGTGCCGGCCCAGAGGGTATGTGTGTTTGGGGTTCTGACACTATTTCAGAGGTCCTAAGAGCGTCTGCTTCCCCACGCTCTTGGAAACTTTTTACTCTGCTTGTGTGATGAGTGAAAGGTCATCTCAAAGAGCAGTTTTAATTTGCAGTTCTGTTGTTACATGTGAGATGGGGGCACTTTTTTTCTACATGTAAGCATCCTTTTCACCTTCTTTTCTGTTCATAACCTCTGTCCAGTTTCTCCTCCTTGGGTATTTTTCTTATTGATTTGTAAGAGCTCTTTACATGTGAGGACATTGGCTCTTTGCTAGGGATAGAAGTTGGACATGCTGTTTCTTTTATAGATTCTACGGGTGCTGTTACTGTGAAATTCTGGGCACGGGAAGAGATTGGCACTATTTTTCTCTGAGTGCCCTTTTTCAGGACACGTTAATTCCAGATATTTGTGTCCCTCCCCACTTCCATGCACACCTTCAGGTGACTGATTCACCAGCCTGGGTCAGTTACGTCCAGCCGGGCCGACCTTAGAGGAGAGAAGAGTCAACCACAGGGGTGCAGAGACCTGTGGAGGGTCCTTCTTTATTCTGGAAACGTGCTTGGTCATCCTCTCTGTGCCGGTCCAGGGTATGGCACGGGGACTCATAGGTGGGTCAGACTGGCCTGACCCCGAGCTCCTGAGTCTGGTGGAAGATCCAGGAGTGGCAGCTACTTGGCTAGGACATCCCAGGGCAACCTGGGGCACGGCACAGATGGAGGCCCTATGAGCTGGGGAGGGTGCCAGCCCAGTAGCCCCAGAGCCCCAGCTTGCCTCTACCCCAAAGTGCACTGGGGTCGATCTTGAGATGGTGTCTGCTTTGTTTTCATAAAAAGAATCTCGCTGACCCAATTCCCGGTCTCCCCGACAAATGGGAGCTGTTACCGGGACTCACTTGTAGGGTGGCCACGGGGACTGAACTGAAGCAGGCAGCAAGCACATCGCTTGACACGTGGAGGGGAATGTTACAATTGCATGTGAGGGTGCCTGCATGTGTGAGGGCGAGGTGTGGCCTTGGGGTGTGTTTGGTCTGCAGGAATGTGGAGCAGGGCACCCTTACAACTGGCCACAGCAACAGTAGAAGCAGGGCAGTGAGGGTGCGAGGGGTGTTGGGGTGCTCCTGTTCTCACTGTCCCCTTAACCCCCTGGGGTGGGGGGATGGGCTGGCGGGTGAGATTAGGGCTGCAGTATTGGGGAGGGTGTGGGTGTACTGTGTGTGTCTACAACACAGGCTGGGTGGGGGCTTTCAGGAGGTGAGCGTCTGAGGGAGGGAGAGAGATCTTGCCTCACAACAGACACACAGAGGCAGGGAGGGCCCCAGCTGTATTTAGCCCAGAGAAAGAGGGGCCTCCCTCCAACCTCCTCCCTCTGGGTCTGCCATGGGGTCTCCCATTCCCAGCTTGAAGGTGTCTGGCCTTTTGGTGGTTGGGGAGGGTAGCCCAGCTCTGGCCTCTCAGAAAAAACAAGGGCATATTTCAACATCTCAAGGAACTGGAGAGGGAATTAGGAGGTGAAAGCATAGGAAAGCCCTCTAAGTCCCGCAGGAGAGCTCCCCTCAAGGCAGGACGGCCGCCCCCGAGGAACCAGGTCAGGGACTTTCAAGGACCTGGCGGGGCGCGCAGGGGAGAGAGGCCATGGGGAAGGGGGCTGCATGCCGGCCTAGGCTACAAAGGGGCGGTGCACCTGCATTAAGGTCCCAGGCGAGAGAGACCCAAGGCCAGCCTCTGCCCCCATCTCACGGCCCCACAAGGTCTGAGCGACCCTGCGCACGGACTCAAGGACAGCACGGTCCCAGACAGCGACTCCGTCCTTGACCGTCATCCTCTGGCCCAAGAGTCCAGGGGAAAGGTGGTGTCATCTCCTCCGCCACCGCCCCCCTTTGGTGTATCGGTTACCTGCTCGCCTGCAGGGACACCGAATTTGGCGGGGGCCCCCAGGGTGGCTTGGGAGGAGCGCGGAGGGTGGGCGCCGGGCGCTGCAGGCTGGATGGAGTTTATGGGCTGCGGAGAGGCCGCTGGATCGGACCTGGGACTGGAGCTCCGCGCCCCTCCTCGGGCGGGACAGCCTTTGGGTGGACTGCTCGAGGCCTCTCCAGCCGCTTGGCGCCAGCCTGGGGCCTCCTCCGGAAGGGAAGGCTACCCCAGGGCAAACTCCCTCGCCCTCCAGCAGCCCCCTACCCTTTGTGGCGCGCGCGCTCGCAGGGGCGCAGCCCGACCCCGCCGCCTCTGCCTCCCTTTGCCGGCTGGGGTAGGCCCCAGCAACAGGGGCGCAGCGCAGGCGGCGCGATCCGGGGGTCGCGCCCCGCGCCGGGCCGGGGTACCCACTCCGCAGTTCCAACGCGGCGGCTCGGGAAGCGGAACGCAGGCCGCGCCGGGCGGGGGCGCTCTTGAGCCTGGTTTGGAATTTTTACCCACCGCGCAAGCCGCAAGCTGGGGCAGGGGCGGTGGGCAGTGGGAGATGCTGGCAGGCGGTGTGGCCGTTAGTTGCGGATGCGGGGCGTCTAGGGGGCTGAGGCTTTAGAACCCAGTTCGGAGGCGGCCGAGTGATTTCGGATCTCCGGAGATTCGGGAGACGAAGGAAGGGGAAGGGGGGATCGGTGGGAGGGCAGTCAGCCAAACCGAACGTTCGGGGAGTCGGAAGGGGCCTGGCTGATCCCACGCCCCACCCTCTCCCCAGCCGAAGGGCGAGGCGGGCAATGGAAGGGGTGGGCGAAGGGGTCAACGATACGGGGAAGGGCAGGTCCCCGAGGGCCGGACCACCCTCTCGCCCCCGCCCCCCATGTGCCGAGCCCTCCTCGTCCCCGGATACGCGCGCCCCTGCGGGCTGTGCATTTGCACTCGCGGACGCGCGCGCCCACACAGGGTCTGACTTCAGGTCAACTTTCACGCGGCTCGCGGGTGTGTGTGCACACGGCCGTGTCCGCACGCGCGTGCACACCTCCGCCTCAGGTGCCCACCTCCCGTCGCCTCCCAAAGTCTCCTCTCCCAGACCTCGGGGGCTTTGGCTCCAAATGGTGGCCTGGGGCGGCGGCGAGGACGCGCGGGGCGGACCCGGAGGAGGGGGCGAGGCTGCTTCCCGGCACCCCTCGCCGCCCCCGCGGCGCGGTCCAACTTCCCCTCCCGAGGCCCCCTCCGGACACCCCCGGTCCACCGACGTGCGGAGCCACACCGCCGCCCGCCCTCCGGCCGCCCCCGCCCGCGTCCCCCGCCCCTCCTCCAGCCCTCCCCGCTCCGGCTCCTACAGGAAACCTTCGATCACGCTCAGAAAGAATGTGCTACAACCTCGGCGCTGCCGCGGCCGCAAACACCGCGCCCGCGCCCGCGCCGGAGCCCCAGCCGGAGCCCGAGCCGGAGCCCGAGCCGGAGCCGCTGCTGCCCCGCCTGCCCGGCCGGCCCCGGGCTCGCAGCGCGCGGTCCCCGCCGCCGCCCCGCGCTCGCCCCGCGCTTGACGCAGTGAGCGCCGCAGCCCGGCTCCCGCCGGCTCCGCTCCGCTCCCGGTCGCAGGCCGAGCCCAGCCCGGCGGGCTCCGGGAGGGGCGGGCAGGGCGCGAGGGGGAGGAGATCTGTCTGGAGCCAGCGAGCCCGGCGGAGGAAGAGGAGGAGGAAGGAGGGGAAGCCGCCGCTGCTGCCGCCGCTGCGCTCCGGGGATCTGGGCGCGCGCGCTCCGCTCGCCCGCGACGGTGGCGCCAGCCCCCGGCCCGCGCCGGGACCCAGGTAGGAGGGGGCCGGTGGGGGAGGGAGCTTCGCGGGGGCTGCGGGGGCGGGGGGTCCCCTCTGCCGCAGCCGCGGGGCTGTCAGGTCCCCGCCCCTGGGGGAGGCGGGGAGGATGCGCTCCCCGGCGGCAGTGGGGGCGGGCGCGGGGTCCCCGCGGCTCTCACCGCCCTGGCCGCTCCGGCCCCCGCGCCCTGTCCGGGGCGTCCGCGCCGGGGCGACTCCCCCCAGTTCGTGTGGCTTCGGTTGCGGCGCGTTGAGTCCGTGGTTTCGGGGCACCCCCCACACCCAGGGCTCAGAGTCGGGCGCACCCGAAGTTAGCGGTCGCCAGGCGCCGGCCGGACAAACTTCCCTCCCCGACGCCGCGGCCCGAAGGCCCCGGACTCCGGACCCCTCGGGCTAGGAGGCGCCTCGGGGACCCCGAAACTTTCCTGAGCGCTGTGAGAGCGAAGGGCGGGCTGGGCAGGGAGTGGGGACGGGGTGGTCTTGCCTGCGAGTGCATGGTGGTAGCCGGGGCGCCCCAAGTTGGCCCAGGGACTGCCCCCCCAACCTGGAACCCCATTCTCATAGTGGAAGGCGGGCAAGGAGTAGAGTGAGGGCGCTTAGCCTTCGGGATGGGGGAGGCAGCGCTCCGCCCCGTGCCTCTGGAGCCCTGGAGGGGGTGTTGCAGGACCCCCCCACCCCCCCCGTTCGCCTGGCCCTGCCCGCAGTTGCCAGTCCGAGGGAAGGACCCGCTGCGCGGCTATTAATAGGCTCCTGTGACCCGAACCTTTCCAGGCCCGGGAAGCTGCGAAGCTGGGCTTGGCGGCGGGGTGGGGCGGGACCCCAGGCCCAGAACTGGCTCCCTTCCCAGCTCTCAGCGTCTCTATCCTGTCGCTCTTCCCTCCACGCCCCCACCTCCGAGCTCTCCTCCGGTCTTTCCATCCCGGTCTCGGGGTGTCGCCCCCCCAACTTTTTCTCATCCTAAACTGTACAGTGTGGCCTGTGGCTGCCCCGTCAGTCGCCGGGGGTCGGGGGAGGGGCAGGGCCAGATTGGCGCGATCGGCGCACATTCCCCAACCGAGTCCTCCTCCGCCGAAGGGGTGTGGGGTTCCTGGGGCCAGACTGCCAGGGACGAGCGCGAATTTACTCGCAGTCAGCGCCTCTTCCTCCCAACGCACACAGCGGCGCGCGACACCTGCGCCCACCCCTGCGGGCAGGTCGCCACCTCGTGTGAGGGGCCCTGGGGAGTAGGGGGGGTCGCCGCCCGCAGCTTGAGGAGATGTAGAGAGCCGAGGGGACTTGCGGAGCTCTGGAGAGGCTTTTGGGGTGTAGCTACAACTGCATGTGCGCGGAGGAGGCGATGACCTGCTGGCCTCCCTTGCAGCGGCGCCTTCGCAACCCTAAGGCCCAGGAGGATTCCGTTTCCTCCTCCCACCTTATCCCAGCACTCAGATCCGAGCTTGAGTGGATTTGAGGATTTGGGGGGCGGGGAACATGGAACACTTCTTCCCGTCTGCCCATCTGCGGAGCCCAGCTCCCAAGCGGCCTGGGGGTCTTTGTCCCCCAGGGCTGGCCGCCGCCCCGCCCCCTCCGCTAATTCGGGGACCCCAACGCCTTCCAGCTCAAAGAATCTCACAGCTTTGGTGAGCGAGGTGTCGCATCCTCTATCCTGCTCTGGGTCTGGGGGTGGGGTAGGGGGCGTGGATCCCAGTACTGGGTCTCTGACAGATGTCCTCACGGCGGCGCCGGTGTCTCTCTGAAACAGATTTAATGACTTACACGCAGACCGCCTAGCGGCGGGGCCCCGGGGGAGGGGCGACCCAGCCGAGACTCGGGGACAGGTCGCAGCTGGAAGGCGCAACCTCTGCTCAGAGTGGGGAGGGGGCTCAGTGGGAAGGACCCCGACATGGGGTCTCCAATCCCCTGCGCCCCCAACTCTGTACTTCACTCTCTGCACCTGCCCATGGATCCTCCGATTGAGGGGACCTTCCCTGGAGGAGGGGACCTTCCCTTGAGGACTTCTACCCTGCCGCCCGCAGTTGACCTCTGAGCCCCTGTGCAGAGCCCTGACCCTGGGCAGCCGCATACCTGCCTGGGGGTTGGCCACTGCAGGTCAAGGGCATGCTGAAGCCTCTGCCCTCCATTTGCAGGCTGCAGGAATGGGCTCACATCCCTTGTGATGGGGAGTAGTGTGAGAAGGTCAATATCTAACCCTGGGCAGGCACCTAGCACACTTCCTGGCATGCTGGAGACGTGCATCAAAAGCCAACCTGATCCTTCCAGATGAGGTGGTTGGCTGGCAAGGGTCTGGGGGAACCAGTCAGAAAAGGAGGGAGCTGTCACCTCTGGCAGCTGCACAGGGATCTCGGTCACTGCTGTGCGTTTTTTGTGCAGAGTGAGACCAGAGGCTGGAAGGTTGCTTTCTGGGACCTACCAAGAGTGACCAGAGGCACCTCTGAGAGAGGACGGGTTTTGCTCCATTCCAAGCCGCAGCTGGAGGCCTCCTGAATGGCAGGGAGGCAGGGAGGGGAGGGGAGACTTGTCACCACCCTCTCTGTCCCCTGTGCTCAGGCCTGACATATCTGAGGCTTGCAGTGCGATACCCCTTGGCCTGCACTGGCTGGGACAGGGGTGTGGGTAGGGGGCAGCCCAAGGAGAAAGGCCACATACAGCCCAGATGCCCCAAATGGCCCAGCAGCCTTCTTCCCTGTGCCTCACCCCTGCCCCCAGAGCTGTTTGTGTCTGGGCCACCCTGCCCCCAGTACTTGTAGATGACCGTCGGGGCACTCCAGCTCTTGTCCTGCACCCACCCTCAAAGGAGCCCCAGCAGACAGGCAAGAGGGGGCCAGAAAGCACTAAATTCCTCAATTTTCCTAAGTTCCGGCCTGGGGGTGGGGTGGGGGGTGGGGAGCAGCTCCCCTTCCTTCCCGCACTCCCCCCTTCCTAGTCAGCCTTCTGTGCCCAGGTGGTGCCGCGGGCGGGGGCTTGCTAGTCCATATAGGACTTGCTTGTGTCCTGGACGTTCATTCACATTCCCTCTCCGGTCCCCACACACTATAGGATTTATCTTGATTTGCTGCCTTTGAATTGAGTCAACTCTTTTGTATGCTCGGTGAATTGCCCAGCTGCTGGCGGGGAGCGGAGAGCGTGCCGGGGGTACTGAGGCCGGGAATCGAGAATCGGAGGCGGGCGGGGGACAGGAAGCGGGGAGGGGGCGCGGGCGCCTGCGGGGGCGACCGATCAGGCAGTCCGGGGACGCGAGCAGGGCCCTGAGCTGGAAACCAGGCTGGTCGAGGGGTAGTTACGCCCGGGCGTGCCCGGCTGGAGCTCGGAGCTCGGAGGGGTCAGGAGGCTCCATCGCGGGCATAGAGTGCCTCTCGGCCTCTGCTTTGGATGGGCCGTGGGGCGTGGGGCAAACGTCAGGGCCTCTCTTGACTCAGTTTCCTTGCCTGTGATCTCCGGGAAGAGGCTCTAACACACGCAGGTTGTGAGGGTCAAAAAACTAAACGGGAAGAGTGCGCAAGAACCCCCGGAATCATCCCAGAGGTGGGGGTGAGTGCGGGAAGGAAGGGGAGCCAAGGCTGGGGAGGAGAGGGGCGGCCCTACCTGTCCCTTCCGCCCCCACCCCCACCCCTGCGTTCTCGGCCTGCAGGTCTGTCTCCTCCGACGAGGGCCGGACCGACGGGCTCACCCGGGTCCTGAGAACGCCTTGGTTTTGCTTCATTGGTGGGGGTCGCGGGTGGCTGGGGCAGGCACCGGCTTCCGCGAGCGTCCCCCTCCCCCAAGCGCCGTCCCCCGCCCCCACCTGGATGTAGGAGGAAGGACAGGAGGGGACGGCGAGGAAACCAGCCCTCCCCGCGCTCTCTTGTACCCCCTCCCGCTCTGCCCCCTCCCTCCGCTCCCCGCCCCCCACCCGGCGGCCAGGAGGGAGGGGAGCGGGGCGGGCGCGGGCTCGGAGCTGGACTCGCGCCGGGAGCGGGCGGGCGGGCGCGGGAGGGGCGGGGGGAGGCGCGGGGCGGGGCGGGGCCGCGCGCGGATCGATGGGCGAAGCTGGGGAGGAATCTCAATCCCCCGAGCGAAGTTAGAGCCTGGAGGACGGCGGCGGCGGTGGCGGCGGCGGGCGCAGCCGGGCAACGCGGCCCGGCGGCAGGTAAGCGCGGCGCCCCGGAGCCTGAGGACGAGCACGGCGGGCGCCCAGCCTGGGGGCGCGGGACCCGGGCGGACTCCACACGCTCCCCCTGCGCCCCCGGCCCCGTGCGCCCTCGGAGCGCGGCGGGCAAAGTTGGAGGAACTTGGCGGCGCGGCCGCGCGGGCGGAGCGGGGGTCCGGGTCAGGGTCCTGCTGCCGCCCCCGGTCGCTCTGCCCCTCGCACAACTGCTGAGTTGCGTGGCCTCGCCCCTTCCCCAGCCCGCCCTCCCCTCGGCAGCCCCCTTGGCCGTCCGCGCCGAGTCCTGCGCCCCGGAACCCGCTGCTTCGCACCGCGGCCGACCCTCCGCGACCCGCGTCGGTGTCTGCGGCACCATCCCTTCCCCTCAGCCTTCCCGGCGTCGCAGCGCCTCCCCATTCCGCGCCGGGACGGTCCTGCCACACTCGGGGGAGAGGCTGCATTACGCGGCGGATGCCGTGGAGTTAAAGCCCTGGCGTGGGGGTGGTGCTCTGAACTTGGTGAATATTCTCCACCCATCCCCCGACCTTGGACCCGTTCTCGTAGTCATGTCTTTTGGGGGAGTGGTGCTGAGCCTCTTTGCCCCAATCTGCCTCCAAAGGCAGGAGCCCCCTTTCGATCCTTTAAAATCCATATGGCACCTGCTTGCAGCCCAGGGTGGGGTCCCCTGCAGGTGTTCCCTCTAGGACACAGACCTACAGCCTCTGGCATCAAAATCACTCTTCCAAGCATCAGCTGCATGACCTTGGGGCTGATAACCTCCCAATCCTCAGTTTTAACATCTGTAAAATGGGGGTATGATGATAATGTATACTTTACGGAGGAAACACCGTGAAGCCTTAGTCGGGGGGGGGGGGGGCTCCTGGAGGCCTTTCCTCCAGGCTTGGGAGACCAAAGCCAGGTTTTCACCGCTCAGCAAAGCCTCAGGTGTGAGCATCTTCTCTTTGGGCGCCTGCGTCATGGAGCCCTTGCTAGGCTACAGCTGTATCTGCCTTATACCTGCTTTATTGGGCTGGTGGCTGTGCGGAAAGTATTCCTAGGATCTTAGATCCTATGAGTCTCAGGAACGGGAGCTTTTGAAGTGTGCCGAGTGCGGGGAGTTATAATCAACAAACCTCTCCAGTGTCTTTCACAGGGGCCGTCTCCAAAAAGACCCTTAGCCTCTGCCCAGTGCTGAGAAGGAAGGAGAAAATGGGGCTGTGTGGTTCTAAGCCACAGAGACTCTGATCTTGACCGCCTGGCCAGCTCCCTGGCCTCCTCAGCCCTGGGTCCTGGCAGCTTTCAGCTTTTAACGGAACAGCTTTGGGGGAACAGAATCATAAGCCCCATGCCAGGTTTGTGTCCCCCTTTGTCAGAAGAGAAATACCCAGACCTAGAGGGACAAACTCTAGACGGTGGGGCTTGTCAGGGGGGAATGCCCACCTTTATTTCTGATTTAGGGGTTTGGAAACGGGCCAGGACCCCAGCCAGCACTTTGGTCCCTCGCCTTCCTGGGCACATGCTGGGGGAGGTCTGAGTGCCTCAGTGGGTGGTGACCTCCAGGGCCGATGTGTTGGGGCCATGCCCTCCCCACATCCGCCGGACCCTCTCCAGGGAAAGCTCCATGGCCTCTGGGGGTGCTGCCTGCGTGTATTGCCGAGATCAGGCAGTCCCTGATTCAGAAAAAGCCGCCCTAGGCACCGCATCCCGAGGGCTGGCAGACCTAGGGGGGCAGTAGGCACCGGTGCCTGTGGCCACAGGAGGGGAGGCAGAAGCATGGCCATTTCCATGTCACCCCTGCAAAACTTCCTCTGGGAGCTCAGAAATTCTTCCAAATGGCATTGGATGCAGGCGCCCCACACCTGGGTTCTGCTCCCTCGCCTCCCTGTGTACCCCCCCTCCCACCCTGGAGACACAGGTGGCTGGGGTCCCCAGTGGAGCCTGGGGCGGACCTCGGACCTAGCAGCCCTTCTCTCAGACTCTGGGATTAAATTCTTTGGACCCAAATAACTCCTGGTCGGCATCACCTGTTTTGGGAGAGAAAAATTAGTGCTGCCAAGACTCTGTGGCTCAGATGGAGTAAAGTGGGAGCGACTGCCCTGGTCCCACATCTGTGTGTCCCTAGCACATGCACCGTGCACACACATATACACACACGTGCATAGGTACACACATACCGCTCTAGATTTCAGAGGGATTTTCTCAACACTCAGGAAGCCCTCCTCCTCAAGTCCTCCTGGGTCAGAGCCCACCTAGCTGTCCCTTTCTCCTTAGGGGCCCAGTACCTAGTAACAGATGACCCTATTCCTGAGGCTGCCATAGCAGCAGGGAAATTTATGAGCAGAGGTGCTTGGATGTGGGGTGTTCACGTATGTCTGCAGGAAACAAACAGGCGGACCCTGTAGATGCCCGGTGGGTGGCGGAGAATATGTGTGGAGGCAGGGTGCGGGATGAAAAATGCCCATGAGTGACAGGCAGGAGATAGATCTCCAGGGCCAGGTGATGGGGCCATAAATTTCCGGGCGTGAATCTGGAGCGGATGGTGGCGTTGCTGCGGACATTGGATACATTTGTCATCCCTGTGATCCCCCGCCATACCCCCCACAGCGCCCTTCCCTGTCTTGTTGTCTGTCATAGATTCCGATTTCTTCCAACAGAGGCTCGAGTGTCGACTGGCTTTGGGTGCATGGCTGATGGTGCCGCCCACGCAGGGGACCGGAGCCCTGATACGGAAGGGAGTTTGCTGTCATCCATCCTAGCACCTGCTGTCCATAGGAGGAGAGTGAGGGTAGGCTGCTGTCTGAGGGTGTACAGTGAGTGGGGGCGGTGGAGGGCAAGGGGGTCCTGTACCTGTATACCAGGCAGCCAGGCACTGCCTCTGCTGCTGGGGACACCTGTTCCCTGTGCACTCCCCATCCCCATGTACCCTGTGCCAGCCGGGGCCCCAGAGTGGAGCAGGAAGCTGTGGGCACTCGGTTTCTATCCCTGGGCTTGCCTGTCCCTCAGCCTCCACCCCACCTGCTGAAGTCTGGCTGCCTTTGCCAAGCTCTCCTGGGGGAGAGGAGGGGTTAGAGCGACTATCTTTGGGATCCAGTGGCCGTATGGAGCAGGAACCAAGACCTCTGGCCATTCGAGCTGGAAGGATACCTGAAGGTTTATTCAAGCGTATTGAGGACCTACTGTGTGCTCTGCCTGGAGCCTTGGGACAAGACCATGATGAGGCTCTGGCATTGGCATTGGTGGAGCTTGTGTCCGGGGGTGGGGCACAGATGATGAACAGAATTGCAGCCAAAGGTCACATGGGATGGTGGAGCACAGCTAGGGCCTCCTGGGAGCCAGGACCAGGTGCTTGCCTCCTCCAGGCTGGCCTCCACCTTTCAGACAAAGTGAGAATGGAGGCCCAGGGCAGCAGGGGCCCAGTAGAGTTGACAGCCTTCTTAGGGTCAAAAACAGGCCAAAGCTTGGCTCCCTGCTCTGGAGGATAAGGAGCAGTGGGGAAACGAGTCACAGGGGCTGGCCCAGCATCTGAGCACTGGGGCCAAGGCCACACTCAGGCCTTTCAGAGGCAGCCCTGGCCACCCTGGGGCTGTTCCGTGGTGCTGTCTCTGACTCAGCCCTGTCCGGGCACCTCCCTTCCTGCCTGACAACAAGTGTTAGTTCCTCAGGATTTATGGCCAGTCTTACCCACAGGGCTTTCCTCCTCCATGAGCTGGTCCCCAGTTCCTCCTTGGGGGGCTGATCAGCCCCAGGTAGGGGGCTCCCCGAGGAGGGGTCGGGCCAGCCCTTAAAGGGTGGCCAACATTTGGATGACCCAGGAGGAAGGGGCAGGCGTCTAGGCTCAGAGGCCTTTGGGGGAGTGGTGAACAGGGCTGGGAGAGGGGCCTCGACAAGCAGCTGAGCAGTTAGGGTGCGGACCTCACCATGTGGCCTGGGGATGATCTCCCCATCTGTAATGCCTCAGCATCCCCAGACAAGGCTGGGGTGTAGAGAGAGACCAGTCTGGGCATCCATGGGAAGGATGGCATGGTGGGGGTGGGGGGCATGGCCTGAGGACCCTGTAGCAGCCCAGCCTGGCAGCCCCTCCCGTCATCAATGTGATTCCATTGCACTCCTTAGGGCCTCTAATTCAACTCATCCACTTAACAGATGGGGAGACTAAGGCTCAGATAGTGCAGCAAGCTGGTGTCAGAGCTGGTGGGAATCCAGGCTTGGCCCTGCTCCTGTGCTCTATGGCCTGCGCCCCACCTCCTGTTCCACCTTTGAGAGAACAGAGCCTCCTTGCCTCACGGACGGGGCCACCAAGGCCCTGCCTGGAGCCTGGGTGTGGGGGTGAGGGTGTGTGCACAGCCTCCTGACCTGTGGGCCATGCCCTGCCCCCCCCCCCCCTTAGGCCTCCCCAGAAGCTCACCTCTCTGCCGTCTTCCCCTCTAGTGGCTACTTCTGTAGAAGGGCCTTTAAGAAGCCCTGGCGCTTGACAACTGTCCACGGCATTGCAGACGGGCATGGCATGGTGGGTGGGCCGCCCCTGCCCAGGGGACTGTGCTCGGGGCCTGCTGGGTACAATGGAGGGCCTCCTGAGTCCTCTGTGGGACGAGGGTCCTCCCGGGGCAGGGAGTCTTTCCATGGGTGGGGTCCTTCCATGGGGTGCAGGTCCTCCTGTGGGTGGGGGCCCTGGAGGATGAGTAGCAGTCCGAGGCTTTCTTGTGTTTATCGACAGATTCTGGTTTTATCTCTGGCAGGATCAACCTCAGGTACCTCCTTGTCATTAGCTCCCTCTCGTTTAATAAGCACAGAGACCCAAACACAGGTGGCCACATGCTACCTGTCACTTGGGCCTGAGCAGGGGCCCTATTGGCCCTTGTGGGCAGAGAGCCATGTCTAGGAAGGGGGCTTTCCGGGCCCTGCGCCCCGCAGTCCATGCCATGGAGAGAAGGCTATGCTGCATGGCCAGGGGACAGCGGTCAGGGAACCCCGTGCCCATCCTGTGTTGGCAAGACAGAGCCCCGAGGAGTGGCTGGGGGTGTTGGCCCAGCGCCCTGGCAATACCCATAAGTGTGACGCCCGGTTCCCTGCTCCTCCCTGAAGGCCATGCCCACCATCCCATCCCTCCACCGCTGCCCCCGAAGTCTGACGGGCCGGGGAGTCCCAGATCTGTCTCCTGAACCTGTGCTGGGCCTCCACCATCCGCACTGAGGGGTATCCCCTACCTCTTAGAGCCCTATAGAAGCTTCTGGAAGGGGCTGGCTGCAGGTCAGAGGGTGGCTGAACCTTGGTACTTTCTTCTGCCAAATGGGCCTAAAGCATAGTCCCATCCTCAGGAGCCAGGTCCAGGGAGCCGCGTCTTGGACAGGAGCCCCAGGCTGAGGGGTGGGTTTCTTCCCTTCGCTGACCTGGTGTTTCTCTGTAACGGGAGGGAGGGCTGGGGTAGGTGGCCTGAACCTACACAAGTTGTGTAAATGACAAAGCCGTCGCTGGTCTGGCAGAGTCCCCAGGCCCTGCCGTTCTGTGGCGCAGGGCCTCACTTAGTCCCCCAGCCCTGGCCTGTTGGGGGGGCCCTGTGTGCACAGAGGCAAGGCAGAGGGTGCTGGGGAAGGAGCCCGCAGCCTTGAGCCGGGCATGCCGGGGGGGAGGGCACAGCCAGTGTGGCGGACCTCCGACCCTTTTTGAGGGAGAGGTCGACCCTTCTGGGGGGAGAGGTTGGCGGGAGAGGTGGCGGACCTGAGTGAGAGGGTGGTCAAGTGCTTGGAAAGAGCCGGGTCTCATTCTGTGCCTCCGGGAGCTTTTGGGGGGTTTGAGCAGAGAATGACAAAGTCTGCTTGTGTGTTCAAAGGACCCCTCCCTGTGTTTGGGGGTGAAGGCAGAGTTTTTAGGGGCATGCGTAGGAATGAGCTGCCGGTTGGGAGTTGCGGCCGATGTCTGGGAGGGATGGGGTAGCCGAGTAGCCGAGTGAGGCTGACGGTGCTGCAGATGGATGGACGGGGGGTGGGGGGAGGGGAGGGGGGAGACAGGCGAACCGGAGCTGCGCTCCTATAGAGAAAAATACTCTGTACAGGGAACCTCGTTGTCTCGTTTGTATCCATGATGAAATGAGCCATGCGTCTGTGCAGAGAACAGGATGCTGAGAAGCGAATCCCGTTTACCCCTTGCCATCCGTTAGCATTGCAGAGATGTCTGAACCGCCACCCCCCCCCCCCAGGACTGTTACGAAGCCCATGTGGCTGTGGGCCACGGAGCCCTCAGGGTGCTGAGTGGGGGTGGGGCTGGGAAATTTTGGCAGCTTCCTGTTGGAGACGCACTTCTCAAATCTGAGCTTGGGGGTGAGTGTATGCATGTGTGTGCGCATGCCACATACGTGTGCACCCCCACCCTTTCCCCCCCACCCCCCCGCCGGAGTCAGGAGTGCACACCGGCTGTGGCCCCGACGAAGGACACCTTCTGACCTTAGAGTCCTTGGTCGAGCGTTTCATTCCTATGAAATGAACGTGTTGTCTGCTTTTTTTTTTTATTTTTTGAAAATTCAGTAGAGCAGACGGAGATTATAAAATGAAGGGTGCGTGAGTGCTCCCAGGGGCTCCCGGAGGCCCCCTGTTCAGACTGCGCGAGCCCCGCGGGCCCCCGGGGAGGACGGCAGGCCAGTCGCAGGCCTGGGAGGTGTCTGCCGTCTGACAGACGCCGGCTTGTTTTGGTGTCCTCATGATGCTGTCCCCACAGAGCAGGAGCAGCTAGGTCTGAAGGAGTGTGACTCGCAGGAGACGGCTTTGCAAAAACAGCAGCTCCAGAAACCCAGCATTTCCACTGGCTTTAATCCACGCAAGTTGGGGCCGAGCCGGGCAGCTGTGCCCGGAACAGGAAGACGGCCAGGCTGGCAGGCCCCATTGCACACGCGCGTGCACACACACTGATGAACAGCCCCCCTGCAGGATGCACTCCTGCAGCCTCCCACGCGCACCCACGGCGTCCGTCATGTGTGTGCATCCACAGCAGCTGCTCTCCTCTTTCAGGCGCACATGCGAACACGCCAGCTGGCATTCACTCGGGCACACATCTGCCTGGGCACTCTAAAGTGTCACACACACCTCATGCCCGACCCCCAGACGAGTCTCCGCACGTCCGCACACGCTCTGATGTTCTCGAGGACACGCCCTGCCTTGCACGTCTTCTGCCACGCGTGCATGCTAGTGCAGTGGAACACAGGGCCTGTGTTTCAATCGATGTGTCCTCGTGCGTCCCTGTGTGAGTTCTCCAGCCAGCGTGTGCACCCAGTTGTGTCCTGTGTGCTGACACGCAGAGATGCATTTCTCTCTGGGAGGGGGGGCGGGACTGGGGAGGGGTCTTGCTCCATTGTGGGGTCACCTTCACGGTGCTGGTCGCTGCACGGGGCTGGAGGGTCACACGTCACGCTGTGCCCTCATGGGGCCCTTGGGAAGCCGAGGGGAGGAGAGCTCCCCCTCTGGGCACACAGGGGTCCCTCAGCAGACAGGGGGAAGGTGTGCAGGGCCTGGCTGTTCCGGAGGGGAACACGCCATCCATGGAGGGCCCAGGGGCTTCTCCTGCTTACCTCTGCAGAGGGCAGGCGCTGGGGGGGCAGCCTAGACCCTCAGTAGCACTTGTGCCTTCCTGGTCACACAGCCAGGAGGCGACAGGATCCAATTCAGCCCTTCCAGCTCCCACTCTCCTGGGTGGGGGGTGAGTGTCTGGAAATTCTACATTCAGGGAGAAACCCCCATTTTGGGGACAGGCGATGGGAGGCATGGGTACTTGGCGGGAAGGAGGAAGCGGGGCAGAGCT